TGAGATATATATATATATATATATATATATATATAGTTCTGCTGGGTTTGAGCTATATATATATATATACACCACCCTTATTTCTCTCTAAATCATTGATGCAAGAGGGATTTACTTGGCAATTGGCATCATCATGCCAGGCATTTAACGAAATGTTTTAATGATAAATTTCTTCGAATGCCATCAATAATGTCTGAGTGATGCAAAGGAAGCGAGGTGGGGCAGGATTGTGTCCTGTGAAGTCCAAATCTGAATGCAAAGCTAAGTTAGCACGGAGGATTTCAATGAAAACCTTCATATGCAGTCGTGGCAAAGTACAGTGGCAAGCAGCGAACGAAATCGAAATTACGAATTGCAGAGCATGAGCGTAGGGAGGTACAGCTTAGAAAACTGGAAAAATTGGCGGTTGTCAAAAAAGCTTTGTAAAATGGGAGGAGGACTCTTACAATGCAGACTGAAATAAATGATACTATGCGCTTTTTTTATATTATTTTAATATGTTAATATTAAAAATAATTTTTTAATATATTTTTAAATAAAAAATACTTTAAATTACTATTATTATTACAATTTTAAAATAGACGTATCAGTATATCAGAATACTGAACCAGGTGCTAACACTGTCAGTTGGTTACCTTGCACTGGTTTCCCTTTCACTGCTAGAAATTTCATAGGCGGGGCTAGTTGGTTACCTTTCACTGGTTTTCCTTTCTCTCTTGATCTCTAAATTCAAAGATCAATATATCTGTTTAATCATCTTATCTTGTGCTTTCTGCACTTAAATCAAGTTCTTAGTTTTCTGTAGTTGTAAACTTACTGATGAATAATGAATTGAACAGAGCTGCCAATAAATCCGGATGGTACGGATAACCTTCCAAAATTTGATGGGCTTGAGCATATTGGGATCGCTTTGGAGCTCACACGATTGCAGTTACAGGCAAGCCACATAAGATAGAGAATTTTCAACAACCGAATATATTATAAAATTCTATATGATAAAATCAAAAGAAATAAAATAAAATAAAATAAAGTCAGAATATAGCTATGTTCAATCAATTAAACCTATTTAATTTTAAAATAAAATTTATTTTAAAAAATAACATTAATGATGAACAATGAGTAAAACAACTCGAGATAACCAAATTAAATAAAATAAAGGTTATAGAAAATAAAAAAAAAATTTAATCTTCAATTAAATAAATATTGAATGATAAAATTAAAAAAAATATTAACTTAACAAAATAATAAAAAAACCAAAATAATTCTAAGCAAACCTCTTAAAGATAAGTTAATTTTTAAAGTTTGTAACCTATGAAATGCTAGACACAAACTTAATCAAGAAGATCAAATCCAAATCGCTTATATGTTGATGGATGAAATAGAGTAAAATAAACACCAATCTAGAAAATATTGCAAAAAATAAATCCAAAAAATAAAAATAAGATCCAATAGGAAAAAAATTGACGAAGGGTGGAATAGCAAAAAAAATACAATTCTAAAAATTATCTTAGATTAAAAAAATTATAATTAAAAAAATAAGAACTAAATTTAACAAAGCAAAAAATTAAATGAAGATAAAATTGAAGAAAAATTCAATTCTATAAATTATTTTAAATAAAAAATAATAATCATATGCATAAGAATTAAATAAAAAAAAGAGAAGTTTAGGGGTAAATTTGAAAAATCAGGATAGAGCACAAACACCCAAAAAAAAAGAAAATAAAAAGAAAATAAAAACCACATCAAACTAAAGTTATTCTCAATGCACGCAACATTGGTTCATATAAGAGATGTCAAGATAAAGAGGATGATACTACCTCGAAATGACTCTTTAGCTATTAAAATTAGTCGCATATGTTATTTGAAAATGATAGTGTTAACACTTTATTTTAATCCTTTTATTTTTAAAGAAGCATATTGCTAAAAAACAAATTAATAAGTAGCGCAGTCCTCACAACACCATCCAAACTCTAGGCTTAAAAATATAAACTCTAAGGGAAGTAGGTCTTTTTATTGTGTATAAAACTGAAAAGATGAAAAAAAATCTTTCATTTTTAGTCCAATGTTTTTTTTATTATTATTATAATGAATTCAATATTCTTGTTTGTAGTGCAATATATATAAGAGAAAATCACCATATAATATCTTACTCTCTTGTCAGTTAAGAGAAATGGATTCTCTCGATTGTAATAAAAAAGAAGAATACCTCTTTACCTTAGGTTGATTTTTATTTTTTTTTATGTTAGAAGGAGAAAAAGAGTAGAGAGTTTTTGTGGAGAAAAAAAAAACACTCTCCATGCTAACATAGAAAAACCCTTCGTCACTATTGATTTATGTTAAATATTTTTTAATCAAAGTTTAAAATACATCTAATTAAAGTCAACACTTTTGCCATTATCTTTTATTCATTTGCTAACATTTATAATTTTATTATATAGTCCACCATCTAACATATATCCAAATCCATCAAATACCACATATGAATACTCCATAATCTCAAACTTAATCAAAATTATTGCTTAAAGAAAAATTGGTGATAAAAATAAATTTTATTTTAACAAATAATTATAAAATATTGAATAACTTTTAAACTCAAATTTAAAAGAAGAAATATTTAAAGTTAGAACTGAAAATTAAAATTTTTGTATTTCAATTCTTAACTATTAAATTATGTATTTGGTGCGACGGAAAAGCTTTCCATATAATTTTTCACCTCCTTTCTCCTTATTTGATTTTTAGAATTTGAAAGGAAAAAAACACTATGAAAGGTAATAATTAACTCTAAAAATGAGGTTACATGTTTCTCTTAAGAAATAGAAATTTTTTTATGAAGGATAATACTTAATTTTAAAAATTATAAAAGGTAATATTATACAAGTTTATTGTTAACTTGTATTAATTTACAATATACTTACACATAATTGCCAAACCTAAGTGATTCGAGTACGTCAATTATGCTTGATTTGACAAATAAGAAATTAAAAAAATAATTATGTATTTTAATTGTTAAGAAAAAAAAATAAAGAAAATAAAATAAATAATTGATCATCGACAATAATTTAATTATTATCTGTCTACACACATCACATCATATAATAGATGACACGATTACACATCTAGTTAGATGGTGAATGAACATATTTAACTATCAGAAAGCATCATATACTCCTTCTTAATGGCGAGGGTGTTGCTTATTTGTTAAGGCGCGAGGAACACGCGCTAACAACTTTTCAATTAATAAATAATAAACAAAACATGAGAAATACTAAAACTCCCCTTGGTCTTTTTAATTACACAAAATACTCATGTAAAAATACCAAAATACCCCCAAAAGCAAAACTTTTGTTTTTTTTTCAGAAGTTAAAAGCGTTATTTTATTGTATATGAAAATTGAAAAAACCTAAAATACTCTTATCCAGCAACCCATTTTTTTTTATCTTGGGAACAAAAATA